CCCCCCCCCCCCCCCCGGCTCTGAACGGACGGGAATGGGGTGGAGGTGCAAGCACATTCCGGCGGGCGGTGTTCGCTGTTGCACGTGCTTTTGTCCTCTCTCTCTTCCGCCCCCGTTTTCCCCTTGTCCGCCCTCTGCCCCGACCCCGCGGTTGGCATGCTGTTGTCTCTCTTTCTCTGTTCGCCCTTGTCGCGCGTGTTCCCTGTTCCCCCCCTGCCCGACCCTGGCTACGCTTATGCTCCGCTTGTTCTGTTTTTCGCAGGTGGCAGGTGGGGGTCTCGATCTCTCGGTGTGTGTGGGTTCCTGTGTAGCGCTTTAATTTTTTTGGTCAGCCTTGGCGTTGATTATTTCCCGTCGTGGAGGGCGTTTGCTTCGAAGCCGTCACGACTGGGTTACCTTTGGCGCTGGACCAAGATCAGAGCCCCCCACATGCCCGATCGTAGCCGCTTTTCTAGCCGATACCGTGCGCAGTTGGGAAGCGGGGGAGTGTTAGAGGCAGGGAACAGGGCGCATGGGCTACATTGGTACGGAATCGTTGACGGGGGGTTCGTGGAAGGGGAGATTCGAGCATGCTAGCTTTTTTTTATTATTGTTGTGCGCCGACGTTGGTGTGCTAAAGGCGAAGGAGTTTGTGTCTCGTCGAAGGCGATGAAGTATGGCATGCATGCGCGCCGCGTTGGCGAAGGCTGATTCCGTGCGGTGATGACGATTGCACCTCTGTGCCCTGTTTGTGAAGTACCGAGGCGATTGCGGGAAGTCATGTGTTTGCTACCTCGATAGCTCGGATACGAACAGACGGATAGGGTGCGTTCGGCTGCTATGCGTGTTTCGCGTTTAACGCGGTCTCACCGCCACAGACACGCAACGCTTGGTCAACACGCTGATGACACAACAAGCTTGATACGAATACTGTGCAGTCTAGTGAAACGTTAGGGTTGATAACGGTTCGAGCTATTTTGGCGGCGGGGTTGATGGTCTCTTTGGGCTGTGTACGTAGGCTGCCAAACCCTTCCCTTTGGCGCCAGTGAGGCTAGCATACGGTTAGGGTTGGGACCAAAGTCTGCCGTTTGGGGGTTCCCGGATACATATATCACAAGAGGGGATCGCTAGCTTGCGCACCGCTTTTTTTTACCGATGTTGTTTTCGACGTGGAGATTGGGGTCGTTTTCGCGAAGTTGCTCGCAGCATACGTTTCGTCTTGAGGGTCAACCGCATATTTTTATTTGTTGGAAAAGGAGGCGAGTGACTTCCAGGGGGTGGGCTGTGTCATGTGCCCTGTCCGTGCAACTTTGACATGCATGCGTAGCGAACGAAGGGAGTGGGGCAGGTGCGTACTCGAAGAGGGTGCATGCTCTTTCGCTTTTAGGCCGGTTCATCTCAGTTTTTCTTTTGAGCGGTCGATCGTAGTTCCCGCGGCAGCAGGATCAGCAGCATTGGCTGTCCACGCCGATGATTTTTTGCAGACCGCGCCACTCCGTAGGCAGTTGTTGGTATTACGTTAAGCGCTTGAGGGTAGTAGATTCAACCTCCTCGTATCGAAGCACGAAGAAATCGAGCCCCGCCCACCGAAGAATTCGAATCGAACCCCGGGCGAGATGAAAAGAGTGGGTTCGTTCTTCATTTGAGTGGCGGTGGGTTCGTACTTTGGGCAGCCTTGCAAAGAGAAGATCTTGTTGGAACGAACGGCAGACATGTGCGTGGCGATGTGCCGGGACTACTTGACTGTGATGCCGTTGTGTCGCGCACGCCAGTTGAAAAGAAGAACGTGCATGTTGGTGACAATCCTGACAGAAGAGAAGAGTGGATCAGTCGGATTATACGTCGTACGCGCGGGAAGGATTTGGGTGGAGCAGTAAAGAAGGTTGTTCTAAATCCGGCCGCTTTCCACGACAAATTGTTAAGTGTTTTCATCGTTGATGGTGCTCTTGAGATGAGAGTATCAGCCCTACATGCACGATGCACACTTCAGCTTCGTTTTCGGGGGTCGACAAAGGGTAGGCGGGGTAATTCTCTTGATTATTTAAACTTGGTTCTCTCAGTTGGCCGAAGAATCAACGTCAGGGTGTTCCAATAGGAGCACCATACCCATGGGGCACTTCACACGCGCCAAGGTTACTTCAGACCTACCAGACAGACGGCCGCATCATTTATTGTGCCCTTGCTCTTGTGCTCATCATGGACCAAAGTCCTCGTGCGTGTTTGAAGCTCGTCCGAGTACGCGGGACTGTATTTTTTCCCGTGATCCATCACCACCCTGTAGGGATTCCCAGGGAGGAAGAGAAAATTCACGTGGTTCACATCTCTCCCGACACATTCATTCCAGGGAGAGCTTCAAATACGCCGGCCGCAACAATCAAACTTTACCGACGAGATAACATTTCACATCCAAGATGGACTGGGGACAGACACACAGAAACATGTGCTTGCGCTTGCATCATGGCATGTCTTCGGATGGATGCGTAACGTTCTGAAACCTCGTTCGGGGCTATGACATGGCACTTCGTAATTCAGGGGCAGGATCCGAGTGGTGCGTACGAGGGAGGCTGGCTGACAGTCAACAAACGGCTCCTTTCATCCTGTGTTTGACCACAAGAAAAAAAAAAACGCAACTGCTGTTGGCTTGTGACCACTCAAGTCGTCCGCGTCAGTTGGACCAGCTCGGACAAAAGAAGGTACTGAGCGGAGACCGGAACGGTTTTTGATGTAGCGTCAACAACAACTACCAACCGTGGGTCCGCTGCCCTCCCCGCAACCGATAAAACGCGAGTTGCATAGCTAGGGGAAGCCGAGAGGGGGTAGCATAAGACTTTGACGTTTTACAACGCCATGCTGACCGGTCCCTTCGAGGGCGACACAGAGCCACACGGAGCAGTTTGTGAGCGTCCTTGCCAAGGCATTTACGGTCAAGTTGAGTAAGAAGTCGGCATCTTCTCGTCTCGCTCCCACACCTTAAAAAGCAAGAAAAGCATCCAGCCAAAAACTCGACAAGTCGGTGATGATTCCTCATCTGTTTTATCCACAACTAGTGAAATACTGGGATAATCCATTTGCAAACAACCCCTCTTCTTGGCGGAGCTCCGAACAACAACACTGCAGTCGAACTCTGCGCGCCCTCCACCCCCCTGTCATAGAAACAAACCACTCGACACACAACACCACTTGAAAACGCTCTCGGGCTCACACCGAATTACCGATCAACACCAAACGAACCAAAACCCAACGTATCGCCGTGCGATCGAATGGAGATCCTTTCATGCTAGCGATCATGTACGCATACCATATGAGACAAGGATGTGACGAAAAACGACATGCACGATACCGATACACTTCAAGCGCAACACAGCAGCCAGCGGAAACATGTCGACTGGCTCGTGTACCTGGCTGGGCATGTTGCCCCGCGGCTGGCTACGAAGTTGTCGCTATCAAATCTCTCATCAGCCCGCATACACATACACCACGATTAGACATCCGGCAACTACAACGACAGAAGACTATACAATGACGAACACATCAAGATCCGAAACGTTTGGCATCAATTCAGCAACAAACTAGGGACCTTTGCCTCCGCGGATCAAGTCTCCAACAGAACGCCGGAATTGTGCGACAAGCCGAAATTGCCACACATGTTCCCGTCAATTTTTTCCCGTGGTCCACACAAAACAACCAAACAACACCGAACAGCCGCATGTACTCGTGTGAACCCATATTAACATTAGAGAAACTACTACTCAAGAGTAAATACGTTTAGGACCGCCACTTGGCAGCAAAGGACTACATTTTTGCACATTCCCTCACGCCCGGTACTAAATACACGGGCAGGGCTACCTCGAGGTAAGCCGACAAGCCATCAAATCAAAGCACAGGCCAAGCGGATCTCAACCATGAATCACTCCTACTGTCGCAGTCGGTGCCGATGTTGACTCCGGCTGTACAGCAGTGGTTGCGGTAGGGGTAGCAGCGGGCGTGGGGGTGATCGGCTTCTCCGGAACCTTGAGGCCCGTCTCCGGGGTGCGGTAGAATGCATCCTGTACCGAGGGAGGGAGGGAGGGGGGGGGGGGG